TCAGTTATTGTTAATGCTATTGTTGTTCTTGTCTTTGGTGCTTTGTGTTAACTTTATTGCTGCTTTGAAGAACCCACATTTTAGTTAGATCTGTACGGAGAGGCGGACGCATATATTGAAGGGCAGACAAGGTAAACAGGCAAAAATACAGGCGAACAGGCAACATGAAATGTTTAAAAATGATGCTTTTTCGATGACAAGGTGAAGATAGCAAAAATTGTGAATAGTTGATTTTTTTTATATTATTTTTTAATTTTATTACTCATTCAAAGTGGCGGCACTAAAAAGATTTAAGATTTCAACTATAAATAATTATGTTTTATTTTAAATATGACAATAACTATTATTTAAAATAGGCTTTTCCGCGGAATGGAAAAAAAAAATTAACTTTAAGTGATAATGATAATGACTTTGAAAATAATATATTATATCATCTTTTGTGTTATTCTTTTATAACATTTTTATCTATAAATATTAAAGTTAGAGTTGATTAAAGGCGATTTAAAAGTATAAGAATTAATAAAAGAACTAATTTTTAATCATTTTTCTGACATGAGTTTATACATAAACAAAGAACGTCTTTGCAGTTTAGGAGTTTTACTAAAACATGTATTACTTCAATAGGGTAATGATTGAAACCAGTCATTTTAAACAATATAGTTAATCTTAGAGACAATAAAAAGGCACAACGTTTTGAAAGAATCAAATAATATAACTCATATTATAAAATAATTTTAGTGCTACTAAAGATCTACTTAGTGCTTCTCTTATTTATTAAATGTTAAATATAACTTTTTATAAAATGATTTACTTATATAAATGTTAAAGTACTGAAGTAATGTTGTGATTATAATTTTAATATTATATTATTATACAATTTGTATTTCAAGTGTTCCCTGGTATGCCTCCTTTCCATAGAATATATGAACTGTTTTTTTATTTAAAAGTAAAAAATTTTTTAAAGTATTTACGAAATGCATAAAAAACCAGCAATTTAAAGTGTTAATACTGTTTAAAGTTATAATAAGATAATATAATAAGTTATAATATGCTTATATGAATAGCAATCGATAATATATAATATGCAGTTAAAAACAAATTCTTTAAATCAAATTGTGTATTATGATCGCCCAATACGGAAAATCTAAATTCATTAATAATAAAACTTTTACACCCAACTAATTGAATTAAGGGTTTTATGATACTATAACATAAATAACACTCTACTTAGTTATAGCATTTACTCTTTAGATTAAGAATATTTAATTGTTTGTTCTTTTAGTCGATAAAAAATGTACCCAATCATATAATATTCATATAAATCATATGATCTATATTAGCTATAAATATTAAAGTTAGATAAATATTAAAGTTAAATATTAAAGTTTAAGAAAGGTGATTTAGTATATAGATATAGTAGTGTAGTATATATATTTTGTATATTATTTCTATTTATTTTTGACTGACCAATCAGTTATTTGTTTAAGCAAGACACAGCAATTAGTTGTGAGTACCCTGAAAATAACATCCTATTTGTTAATATTATTATTTAATTATATTTATATATATATATATTATTCAATAATATTGTATTCCGGCTCCTTGCTTAAACTAAGCATCTGCACAATCATTAATAGATACAATAATTTTTCGTCTTTTTCTTGGCGTTGGCTACAAAGTTCGTGGGTTACTTAGTATGTAGAATAAGTATGATTACATTATCGATTACGGTTTAGCCTTAATAGGTTAAAATACTAGTATTAAATATATATTGTAATTAATCACTTACATTAACGTACTCTTAACGCAAGTTAATTTATTTTGAAATCTAATTATGTTGTTAAGGAGAGAACACGATATCAGAGATAATAGTTACTAATTGGTTGTTGATTTTCTACATTGGTATGTTTATACTATTTCTTTCCAATGGTATATTTATACCAGTTTCCTACATTGGTACGTTCATACCAGTTCCTTACATTAGTATGTTTATACCAATATATAAAGAATATTTGATACAATTCATAAAAATACGTCGTGTTTATGAATGCTTTCTTATGTTATGATATGTTTCAGATCACTACTCCATTGTCACAGTTCTGTTTTTAGATTATTTCGGTATATTATTTTGTATATATATTGTATTCATAAGAGACACCTATTAATCTGTTTAATACTTCTTAAATCATTCATAGCTTACAAAAACAATTCAGTATAATATCAATGGACTTAAAAATATAGTTCCAATCGGACTTTAAAAAAAAATCGGCTTAATAAAGTACTGATAAAACAAACTGCTTGATATGATAATTACCTAAAAAGGTTTTACTATAGTATTAAATCAGAAACATTTAAACTTTTGTGTGATTAAATTTGAATCAGAACACATAATTTCGATATCATTTATTATTTAAACACTTTCGAGCTCATACATCAAAGTCATTAACTGGCATTATTTCATGCCGAATTGCGCACGAATTAACCTCTGAAGAACATCTAAAACAACAACTGTCAGACAGGTTAAAATTAATCCACATGCCGAAATTAGTATCTTCTTTTTCTACTTGACTTATATATACGTCTTATTGTATATACACAGGTATATAGAATATATATACATACTTATAGATGTATTGAAATTTGGCAACAATGTGCTGTGCAACACTTCTGCTTTACTTACCCTCTTTTTCGAATCAACTGCGTGTTCTGCGTTCATTTACCATTCAATTTAGTAGGAATTCCCTTGGGTTACAAATTCTGCAAAAAAGTTAGAAGTTTTCACAGACAACGCAATCAGTTGCCTTGTTCCCGACTATTCCCCGACTCTTTTTACCTTGGCTGACTGTGCGTTTCCTGTTCGAATTCGAATCGAGAAAAAAATGCAAAAACGAAAGTTGAAAATTGCTAAGCAATGAAGGAAGGCGCACTAAAATTATAATTTTATATGTCCTGTCCTGTCTGTCCGTCGGGCTATAAAACGTCTTCAAACGCACTTTACGCGCACAATGAGCCAATAACGATGTCGGCTGATAGCCGTTGCACTGGGGAGAGCTTTTCAAGTTATTTTCAAAAATAAACTCAGATTCAAACAAAATAATGATTCTGATAAGATAACAGAACAGAACAGAACAGAACAGAACAAAGTCAAAGCAAAAATGCTGCAAAATAATATCAACACTAAAATGGCATTAAATTTTATTTTAGATTTTAGTGCCCATAGAAATTTAAGTACTCCACTGGATTTGATTTCGTTTTTATTTAGCCTCAAGATAAATACATATACTTTGACTCTCCAGGGGAGTTTCTTTATGCAAGGCACTTGAATGCTTTTTGGTGGTCGTCTATTTGGTTTTTAATAAAAACAATTTTGAATATTTGAATTTCTAATGAGATGCCGTGGGGTGACTTAAATCTTTAAGTGTTCTTACGTATCCGTATTTTTTTTTTTTAAACAGAATTTTAAATATTTTCCATAATATGAATTAATAAAAAAAATATAAACAAATAAAAATATGAAATAAAAAACGTTAGTGTACTATATTTTTTACTGTTATTTTGTAAAATTGAAGAATATATATAAACCTGAAACTATTGTCTTATAATTTTATTCTACAAATAAATTTCAGTGCTTAGTTTTTTTAAAAGTTTTCCTTAAGTATCTCACCATTTCATATTTATATCTTAATTTGCTAGAACTGAAGATCATAAACCTAATATTTTTATATGACACGGTAAATTTAATTCAATCCACTATTGAAAAAGTCATTCAGTTATAATTTATTCTAAAAAAATGGAAATTTAGTAATATATTTAAAAAAACCAATTCATAAAATAGCTATTACTCAGCGGGTTGCTTTCATAATATTTAGCTTTAAATAAAATGATTTATTCGAAATGTACATAAATCATACTTTCTATCTAAATTTATTATTATAAATATATTTTTTACTTGAAAAATTTTATAAGAATTTTAATTTCCTTAATAAATTAAAATTTAATAATTTTAACGGAGTTTAATGTTATTGAGTTTTAAAATACATAAAAATTTATAAATAAAAACCAATCCAATATTTAATTTTATTAGTCATACCTATCTGAATATATTATACATAACATTTAATATGATTCGTTATATTAAGTTCGTTCTTTTATGTTTTTACGCAGAAATTTTTTTACAATTCAATATTAGCTGTAATTTTATCTTTCAGAGTAGCAAAAAAATACTCGCTTCTAAAATACAATGCTCTTAAAATCTTCAGATTTAGTTTTTACTCGCAAAAAATTTTAAATCTTAAGCTTCAGTGCAGCCAAATTCTAATATCAGTCTATTGTGAAAGTTCACTAGAAATAATATTTCACTAGAAATATGTTGCTAATTTCCAGTCATCCGTTAAAATCATATATTCTAATATTCATTTTGATTTCTTTTATTTAAATTAATTAATTTTTAGTATACAAATAGAAACATTTAACATATTTTAAAAGTGATGCTCATTTGTTTCAACCAGACTTAATACTGTTTTTTAACAACTCTAATAGAAAAAATTACGGCTATTATAAATATTATACTATAATATTAAGTGTAATTACAAAAATAACATCACCCAAAAAAAATAATTATAAAATTCATATGGATAAATATAATTAAAAAAAATTTATCTATATATATATATAAAATAAATATAATAAACATATAAAATACATTTAAAAATCATACGATTAAATAAATAATATATTTTTTATTAATATTTATTTATTTTATTTTTTATTATTATTTAAAATTACAAAATTTATAATAAATTTAAAAAATAAATTTATATAAAAAATATGATATGATATTTTTTTATTATTATATAAATTTAATAAATATATAATAAATTTAATAAAAATATAATAAAAGTAATAAATAAATTTATATAAAAAATATGATATGTTAGTTAATATGAAATTAGTTGCAATATCTGTATTAAAAGTTTTAAAATAATATTTGTTTTTTCCAGGAGTTACGAGATTGTGGAGCGCCTTGTCATGCTATGTTCTTTCCAGAAAAGGAGCGAACTGTACTTCGTTACTGGGTTGGCTCATGGGCAGCTGTATGTGTAGCCAGTTGTTTGTTTACGGTAAGATAATAAATAAATATATAATAATAAATAATTCTAACATTTTTCACAATATATAGTTAAAAAATATTTTAAATGTGTATAAATAACATGGCAAACAATATAATAATTCAGAAGTAGTTCATTTTCATGAAAATAGTTCATATTTTCTGCTTCGTAGTGCCTTCTTAATTCTTAAAGTTAACTAACCTGATATTTGATTTACCCACAAATTCGTGAAAGAAGAATCCTGTGGTTATATCAAACCATTGTAGTAGATTTTTATGCCAAGATATGTTGCGTCTCCTACGTCTCTTAGTTTTCTGTAAATAAAAAAATTTTTTAAAAATTTTTTTGAAAAATTGAACATGACTATGCATTTTCCCTTTAATGTCCATCAGTATCTCTCTTTCTGTATTGATTCGTTAATCCAAAAATATGCTAATCTCCAAATTTTGGAATATGGTCAGTTCACTACTGGTCAGTTCACAATTCGAGAGATTACATTTATTTATGAACAAAACAGTTAAGTTTCATTTGTTAGTCTTTATTTAAACTAAAAGCAATAATTTCCGGGAACAACTAAAGTATAACTGAAGTTATTGGTGGATTATTATTCATATCATTTAAGGTCGCAATATTATTCTTTACTGAAAGCTTCAAGTTAGAATAGGTTCTTGCAGTCATTCCAAGAATCAATTTAGGACTTGTTCCACTGTGTTGCCATTTAAATTTTTTAACGTTAAAAATCATGCCGATCCTTTAATAAAGCCTAAAGAACCTTTTAAATAAAGATACGTACAAAAGCTGACTGTGAATATTTAGATAGTCGGTCACTAGCAAGCTAAGTATTTCGTACTAATTATTGTTTATAGTTAGTCAGAGAAATAGATTCAAAATTTACAAGACATATTCTGATCACTGAAATCACTTATAAATATTCATTTTTTTATACAGTGTAATATTCTATATCAAATATACTCCAAGTTGTGATGTTACCCTGTAGTATTTCTTGATATTTAATTAAATATAAAAATTAATTTTCATTTATAATTCAATTTTAAAGTCAGTATTGGTTTTAAGGATTTTAACTTTTATTTCGTACGTTGTATTTTGTATATTTCTATACGTATTTCGGCATATTTCCTTTTGTCTTCATTAGAAGAATTCCTAATATTAAAACATCTAGCAATTTATAAACTTTTTATACTTTTTACATATGTAATTATTTAATTTTAATTAGTAGGGTTATGCTATTATGCTATCAAATATTTTCAAAGAATTCACTTGTCATACATAGGTTTGAGATATAAGAATACAACTACAAAAATTTTAAAAAATCAATATGTTTTGATTTCATTTGCCTGCTATAGGTTTATTTCTTATCTGAATTCTATAATTATCATATTAAATTTTTTACTGAAGTATACTCTATGGATCGGTAATAAGTCAAAATCGAAAAATGTCAAAAATAATGTGCCAAATAGAACTTCTATGAAAAAAAGTCTGACGAAGTATATTTCGAGGGATATCTTAAAAATCGAACGTGCTAAATAAATTACAGTTTGGAGATCGGCAATCCAAAATCCATTTTAAACTGTCGTCACTTACTTAGACTAAAAATCGTGGTCACCAGTGTTATTACAGAATGTATTAGATTTCATTAAATGATTTCCTAACTGGCAGTGACTTTTCATAATATCTATTAAAGGCCTGATATCTTCACGGGATATTTTATTCAAATTGCTTGACGATCTTGGGACTCAATTTGCTTAGGGTGTCTACCTAAACCCTAATTACTTATTTAGATTTAATGTATTAAAGTCGATGTGTAAAATTGTATACTTTCTTCTTTTCTTATGCCTTGCGTTTTCTCTTATATATGGAATTAAAAAAACAATTGTTAAATAAAAATAGATATTTTCTTGATATATCCCAAAAGTTTTCTTAAATTGCTTCTTAAAACAAAAAAAAAATCATTAGGTTATTTTTTGCAGTTTTTTTTTATTTGGCAATCAAATTACCTTTCAATTCCTTTCACTTTTTATGCATTTACCTACCTCTCTAAATTTATTTTTTTGTTTGTCTAAGCAAATATTTACATAAATTTTGTGTCTAAATAAAATATTTCAGTTGGAATCAAATTGTAACTTAGCTTTCGCAATAAGAGCTTCAAGAAAATCCACAACTTGAGAGTGATATATTACCTGTCATTGCAAATTTTCAATAAAGACGCCATATGTAGTGGAGAGTATCTGTGCGTACTCGTAGTCGTATTCATGTCATTTATTATGATATAAAATACGAGTCCTTATCAGCGTTACATGTTAAAAACAGCAAAGAAAGCAACGAAATAAATTTAAATAAAAAGTCAATTTGACATGCAGGAAAAATATCACACAAAATTTAAAATGACAACTGAAAGATTGTTACAAAATCCCTCACATTAACAACAACAATGACAACAATAAAATGTTAAAAATAAATCTTTTCAATAAAAATTTACAAAATAAAAAATATTTCAGAAAGTTTTTTTCGTATGAAAAATTTTATTAAAATTTCCATATAATAAGTAAACAAGGACAATAGCAGTGATTTAATGTCCTTAGCTTTCAGTTGTAATTACTGAAATATTTCAATAAATTTAATATGTAAATTTCACTTTTGTTTGTGAAATTGGAGCTTGGGGATATTGACAGAAATATAATAACAAAGAAAAAATAAAAAATGCAGTAATGTTACTAAATATTTAAATTTTTTTAAGCATCTTATAATTTAATTATAAAGAATATATAAAAATCCATGAAATACTAAGATTTTATTGCTTATATAAGTAAGTTAAGATATTTAATCAATATTATTTATAAGGTTACTTTTTTCTTGTCGATAATGGCGTCTCTTTTTATGACGAAAGGAACTATTTAAAAGTTAAACGGATTCGAATAGCAAAGAAAGGACAAAGACAAAAATTTTTTATTTTTAATTTGTTGAAATTTGGCTGACCATACAACGCTGTTTCGAGTATTGCCAAGTACTCTTCATCAGTGGTCTTTGGAAATAATCCAATTTTATTTAATTAGTTTATAGTCCGTATATAATTTGTTCGGTCTGCAAGTGCCAGGCTTAGAACTCGTGCCTGTCAAATTTTTGTATTTGTCCTTTTTTTGCTATTCGAATCCGTCTAATATTATTTATGTTGAGGTTTTTCCGAGTAAGTGCTACTGCGCTTTTTTACTCTTTTTTAACTGTGGGCTTTCTACAAAGTAATCAATATTATTCTTACTATAAAACTGCTCTACACTGTTGGGTCACTACTAAGTTTCAGACAGAAAATTGTTAAATGGATTAAAAAAAACGTTAGTGTTGTATAATGTCAGATAACGACATTAGTTCTTTACAACTATGGTTAGAAATACTTTCTTACAAGAAAACAGCTGAGGCTGTTGGTAGCTTATAATAGGGGTTATTATGTCTAAGTAAAAAAAATACCTTCTTTATATGAAAACAGATATTATCACTACTGATATTTTTTATAACTATCCAAGTTTAATATTGGATTAATTTAGGAAATTACTAAATATGGCAATTCTGACCATTCAAAATCTTGAGAGTCTTGTACTTAATTAGGATCCGTTGCAAGTATAAAAAATAATATTTTGGTTTAATAATTAGTAATCAAAATTGCTAGCATCACATGTTGGGATAGTTCAATGTTATCTACATACTAACTATACATTTTGAAAAAGTATGGCTCGAAGAAACTTCCTCAGATTCATAGACGAAAGGCCTGTTGATAAAAATATCCATCAAACTCTACCTTCGGTACGCTGAGGAAAATATGAAAATAGAACCAAAAATCTCGTTAAGCGAAGCTCCGCCAAACTTTGAATCAAATATAAAATCTATGCTTATCAATGACTGTGATACATAAAAATGTTCCTACCACATTAGGTCAAAAATACAGACTTTCATAAATCAGTGCTTGCGCAGAATACTTGGTATAAGGTAACAAATTATAACTGAAATGATATGTGCTGCGAAGCACCTAATACAGTTAGATATAGACCTATACTCCACGAGGAAAAGAAGACAACAGTAAGTAAGTAAGTAACTACTGCGAAGAAGAGGAAACAGCAGAATACATTCTGTGTCACTGTCTTAGTCTTACCAGGCTCAGACTTCGGTACTTATCCACAGCCTATCCACTTATAAAGGAATTAGGCAACATCTCTTCAAAGGACATAATAGCTTCCTGAACTGCTACTCGTCTATGGAACTGAAGTGGGTATGTCACAATAATTCTCAAAGGATGCGGTGACGTGGTGACAAGTTCCCAACCCATTTTAAAATCTAATCTAAGTAAGTAACTATACAACTCACAACTGGTATCGTTTGCTGTGATAATGGAGTAGTATCTTACTTGCTTCACATTTCCTCTTAAAAGAACACATCACAAGTGTCAACGTCAATGATATCCAATGTCGAGGCATGTTAAATATGGTTTGGGAAGATTGTTTATATGCGAGCTATATCTAAATCTAAGGCAATCAATACCATTATTATTAAACAGACTGCATTTTATAAATTAAGCTCAAGTTCCAAATTTGAACATATATTAAAAAATAAAAGAGTTTTTCTAACTAAAGCAAGCATGTATCTAATTTAGCATTTTATATGATAGCTATGTGTAAGTCAGAACCGATATCAATACACATTTTTATATTCTGTTATATGAATAAAAAGTCTACATATCATTTAAATATTATTTATTTCATTCATTTTTCATTTATTAAATGATTATTTCCGATCACTCAGTTTATATAGCAACTATAGAATATAGTGGTTTAATTTTGACGAATCCACCAAGTGTGTCTGCTTTCCTAAATTGTGCACAAAGTTTCATTCGAATAGCTCAATAATTGAGAGAGTAATGTGGAATAAAACAGACCCACACACAGGGTTATTAGTTGTTCAAATTGTTCTGAGCTCGTTGAGTTCATCAAGAATGTATATACTTCGCT